TTGCCTGGCTCTGCCCCCCATCCCTGGCCTACTTGTCCTTGCTTCCTCTTGGCTACTCACCTGGGACCTGCTGGTCCTCGTCCATCCTTGTGCGGTGTTCCCACCGTCAGCGCACCTTCCCGTGCGTGGGTCCGATTAGCCTCCCTCTTCTCAGCCACTCGTCTACCCGGCACCCGCCTGTCTACCTGCCTGTCCATCTGTCCCCCATTTACTCCCAGCCCTTCCCCCATTTGTCCGTGATCTGTCCGCTCCTGTTCACTCATCCATGTGTTTCTCAGTCCCCCTGTGCCAGTTCACATGTCCGTCCATTGTCACCCACTGTCCTCCACCTGACGGTCCCGTCCAGTTACCCATCACCGGCCGATCCACTCATCACCTTATATACCCGTCCCGCTGTCTGCTTACCCGTTCACCCCTCCACCCCTCCACCCATCCTCCCATCTGTCCAGGCACCCACCTGCCCACCTGCTCATCCATCCCTCCATGCACCCATCCTCTTACCCACCTGTCCACCAGTCCCTCCATTCGCCCACCCTTGGAGTTTGACCTGAAAGCAGCAGGTGGATCTGGGTGTGCAGTTTTAGGAGAAAGGGTGTCCTGGTTTGGGTAATGATATGAGCAGAGATGAAGAGCTGGGAACTGGGAAGATTCTTCGTGTTTTGCAGAAATTGGGAGTTTGGAGGGCAGCAAAGGAAGATGGGTTAGGGACTAGACTCGGTGATGGCAAACCTTTTAGAGCTTTCAACCATAATAAATAGCTGGCTGTGGCACGTGTGCCATGGTAGATGGGGAAAGGCTTTGAAGGCTACCCCTGGAAGTTTTTACTTTACCTTTGAGTCACACTGTTAGCCAAGGATTCCCAAGAGGGACTGGCAGGGCATCTATGAAGCCCCTAGTCCAACAGTTTTAGCTATGTCTTGGTTGCGAGTGGTAGAATACCTGGCCCAAGTTAGCAGAAGCAAAATGGGTTCCTGTTATTGCCAAGTTCATCTTTTCAGGCAGCTTCAGGTGCGGCTGAATCCAGGTGCCCAGTAACTATTACTGTGTGTTTCTCTGCCTTCCATCTCTTGACTTTACTCCAGTGATTGATCGATTGACTGAGCAGGCCCAGCTCCAGACGGTTTCCTCCGAGATCAGAATGGCTTCTGATGTTCAATCATCATCTTATATGCAGGACAGTGGCACAGAGAGAGGCTCTTTGGCTCTGAGTTGTCTGAGTTGGGCCTCTTGGCGTGGTGTCCCTGCTGGGCTGGCATCATTGGGAGGGTTGTGGGAAGCCCTGGTTGGCGAGGCAGTGGGGTGTCGTGAACCTCAGGCTGAAATCTAAGGCTGTTCTTGGAAAGACAGTGAACGTGTGCCAGATGGTTAGAAACCACCGGGGTCCACTCGAGTTGTTTGTTGTTTTGGGGTTTTGGTGGAGGCGGGTGGATCGTCTGCAGCTGTTCCCAGGTTCCCATGGGGCCAGAGCCGATGGGGGACAATGCAGGGTCTTGAGCAAGGGCGAACGGCCGGCCGACTGCGGGAGGGAGGGTGCCTCCGGTGTCACTGGCTGTCG